TTGAGGCTTTAAAGTGTAAAAACTATTATGTAAAAGTTATTTGCTATGTGTCAGTTTTATAAACTTATACATTTTTATGTACTTATCAAAGTGTATAGTCATGTTTAAATAACTAATTTTGTTTGTAGTATCTCAACAGCACATAAAATAAGCAGCTTATAATAATTTATAAAGAAATCAAGCAACTGTCTTATTTTTAGAGCTGCATAAAAATATCACTTATATGTTTTCCATTTAAATAGATACATTGGCATCGTTTTTAACCCAATTGTCTTTTTTTAACCATATATATGTTTGAACAATCCATTACTACAACAAATAACTATCCGTACAAAATCTTATAATAACTAGATAAATTATGCTCGGTAGAAAAGTCTATTGAATACGGACATCTTACTAATATATAAAGCAAAGTTGCTAAAACCGTTGTAATCGCTAACGGCGAAAACTACTGCACCAATTGTGCTAAAATTTTGCATACTAATTCTTCATTATTTTTTTGATAACAGTTTTTTTCTTGAAAAAATTAATAACAATAGCGATAAATAAGCTCAAAGTTATGCTAAAATAAGCTAATATTGCGCCTTAGTTTAGTAGGATCCGCTAGGTAGCGTCAAGGTAAAATTGAAGCCACCCGCAACCAAAGATAGTGAAGAGTGATTGTAACAAGCCCCATCGAGTAGACAATCATCGGAGTCAATCATTGGCACTACACCAAGAACAGAGGAGTCAATCGTGCAGCTGGGCATCTTGGCTACTGATGACACTCTTCTTTCATGGGCAAGCGAAATAAATCGGTTTATACCCTGGATCCCCAAAATAAACGAGTGACACGGAAAAACAGGCATTCGGAATGTCACCGTCTTTGGTGGAATACTAGGAAACATTTTTAGCCAGAACACGACCTGCTCCAGCAATTTAGAGCTTTGTGGCCGTTCAACCATCTGACCTGGTGTCGTCAAACATTTTTCTACCTCAAATGTGAGCCAGGGAAAACAGCCCTGAAGAGTACGGGAAGCCCGTTCTCCTTAGTGGCCATCCCAATAGCATATATACAGACAAGGTATTCTCCAGGCCCACTTTCCTGACTATCGATGAATGGTTGGTTATCCGGGGAACGACCTGAAGACGAAAGATTCTTGGGTCAGCAGCGTACTTTCTTTCCTGTACAGTCTCCGTACACAGTGACGCAAAACATAAGAGTCAAGATTCTCGCAGCTGGCTTTCTATCATCAAGAATAATAATAAGGAATAGCTACAAGTTTCACCACCGGCCCTTTTCAGTGCTATTATAAGTATTTACGTTCCCTACTTAACCATTAATCTCATCGGTTGTTTTAAGGGCCACCTAAGTTTAAATTACCTTGCCAACTAATACATTTTTACTACAATTTCTGGAGACGATTCGTCAACTCAAAGACTATGTAAAGCCGGCCACTATTAAACCAAGTCAGTTATTTACTGGCAGACGTCACGAGCAGAGTTGTTCGTTGCAAGGCTGAAAATCCCGGTGACTGACGACCTATATCACCCTCTCAACTTTAAGCATTCAATCAGGAATCACCAATCCTCTCCTAGGTCTGCGCTGGGAGAACCTTACATCTATGAAGAAAAAATAGTAAACGTGAGCCAATGGGACAGTTACCAACGGGCAAGCATTATGAACCAACCTTTCCACCTAAGATCACCAAAACAACTGAGTCTGAAAAAAAAGGTGCTTTAGACACCACTAGACAACTAGCTCGAAAGCTTCAAGCCCTGAGGTATCCCGGCAGTTACGATTACTGGAAATTTCAGTCAAGAAAGACTTTACTTAAGAAGCTCACCGATCCTTTTCAGGCTCATCGGACGTCGAACTACCCTGACAACAAATATATTACAACCTAATAAAGTTTATAAAAATAGTCTTTAGGGCTCACAAGAGTCTCAACTATGCCAAAAGTCACAAGAAGTTAAATTAGAAGGAAAATTTTAAATGCATCTTTCTTATGAATACAATTTTAGGCGTCAAGAAAATGACGAAAGAATTTATTGAGTGAGAGGTCAGCTTTTCACTATAACCCTTATAGTAGTCTCCTGAATCTTTCAGATTTTAAAATAGATAGAATATGTATTTGTATGTTTGTTGCGATAAATAACGTAGAGATTACGCTCCAGGACTTTGTTGCTTTGGTAATAAAGTTGTGAGATAAGAGAACAAAATTTTGTAATGATAAATTTTTTGTGAGATTTGAATCCTTACAGCTTAAAAAAGTAGCCGTTTTTGTGAATTATACGGGGCGAAACTGCAAATCAACGGCCCCTTATGGCCACTGACTATTTAGTGGCACAACAAAAGCACAATACTTTTCAGCACAACTATATTTTTCTTTAATTTTTACAGCTTATTATTTGGCGAAATTATCTGTATGGATTCTGAACCAATATATTTTTAATGAAAAGATTTTTGTTGTGAGAAGTTTTAGAACTAGATGTATAATTTTTCACTGAAAACGTTTCACATTACATGTCAACACACTATGGTGTTCCATTTAGTGAGTCTCGAGCGAAGCCAAGACGGGGGGCCGCTAGTAGTTTTATATTGAGATGTATTTTATTTTCAGAAAAATGTAACTTTATTTCATACGTTGTTCTAGTTTTGTATAAACATTTTTAAGTAAGAAAATGAGGCGTTATATAACAGAATTGTAAGTATTTTTTTTTAAATAATTTTTTAGCTGTTTTTTTGTTTTCATAATTTTTTTTCAATTTTAGTATATACTCTGTAAAAAAACACATAGTATCTTAGCCAAAAAAAAAGACAAGGGATCTAACTGCTAAAATAATCGGTCTTATAGGATTGCCAGCTTAATTTGTCTTAGCCAAGCTATAACACAGTTTGATACAATAAATTTAAAAACGATTGAAAAATATTACGATGCTGCTAGCTTCAGCTTCGTACTTAAGTCAAAACTTATGAGAACAGGTAAAGAAAACGTCAGCATTTGTAGGAACGAAAATGAATTTTAATTTTAATTAATTTTCACGAGAAAGTAGTATTTACCATACAAAATGATTCCTTTGGTAAGAACGAAGTAACATACAGATAGTGTTATGTTGTTGATATGGGTATTGTGCTTAGTCTAATTTTATGTACAATGGTTCTCAATGACTTTAAAAAAGTTTGTTTTGGAAAACCTAATTGGGTATAGTACAGTTCCATTATTTTTGTGTTTTATGTAAAGAACATGGACAATATCCTTATTATTTTTTTTTTCTTTATTTTTCTAATTTCTATTATTTGTTTGTTTAGTTTACGGAAAAAAACATCATCACAAAATAAAACTAGTTAATTAGATATGACTGTTTCTATTAGTACTTACATAAAAATAAATTTTTTCGTATGCTCTTGGTAAGAAAATAAAAAAGTCTCAAAAATAGTCTAAATATTTACATTTTTTTAAACTGGAAAATAGTTTTCCATGCACAAATTTATATAAGCTTAAAAGAAATTTTCTATCTGTTAAAGAATACATTGTGTACAAGACTAATTGAGGGTTATTAACAAAGCCAAGTATCAATATCTTACAGACTTTTTTTTAATAGGGTCTCGAAGATTCACTTACAAAAATTAATCTACATAAGAGTACGCAATAAATTGCATATCTAAAAAATGGTTTTTATTAAGTTCAAAGCTATTTTTTTTCTAACGCTAAAACTTATTTTTCAAATTTTGTTTGACGTAACTCTTATGATTTTTTAACAGGAGTCTCTGGCAAAAAACGTGGTATACTGAAGGTCATTTGATTTTAATAAGTAAAATAAGTAATATGAAATCAACATCTTAATAAAGTAAGCCCTAATTATAGAGAGCTTACTTTAATTGTATAATTATTATTGTAATTATAACCAGTGGATCAGTCCTTTTAACTTAGTAACTCTGAATGGTAGGATTTTTTTGTTTGACAAATTCAATAAATCACTCCATCACAAGCCCTTTTAACCTTACAAGTAACTGTAATAAGGGCCTTTTGTTTTTAATCATTTACAGAGTTGATTATTAATTGAACCAGTTCTTATAACTAAGAAAATAGAAGAGCTAGAGACATCTCATCCCCAATAAATTACACTGTTAACTAATAAAGAAAATTTTCTTACTACTTAAGTAGAGGCACAAAAAGCAATTTTCAAATTATAAACATTGCTCATAACTAAATGAGAGTCCTTAACTAAATATCTTAATACGTCAGAGGTCTCCAGTTTTCTATAAATAATGTGATCAAGTATCGAACAAATTATTAATAAATCGTTAATTCCTGAACATACTTGTTTAAAAAACAATACAAATGTATAACATATTTATTATGCAAGGTTTTTAACACAATTTAGCTCTTCAAAACCTAGCTATCAAGTTTGGATACCACATTAATTAGATAGCAGACTTTTCTTTAAGGTTACTCTGGTAATTATTAGTCATCGTCATATTAGTTCTTGCATTTGGTGCGAAGAAATTGTAAAGAAAATTTATATACGTATGCACTATCCTACTTGAAATGATTGTGGACATGTGGACACTTGGTCTAGCCTTACCGACAAAATAGATATTCTCAGTGACAAAAAAAAGTGACAGTTTAGCAGTGATTTGTATTAGATACTCAAGAAATGGCAACTCCTCTATTATAGTTCACAAGACAACTTTTAATATATACCATTCTAACCCTATACTAAAACGCCCAGTACTTTTTCTGATTATTTTAGATAACTTGTTCCAAAAATAAAAAAATTTTAGCTTGAGCTTTTCTTATGATATCTAAGATTACACAAAAGAGAGCGTTATTAGTTTTAAAAACTTGCGTCAGACTTTAAGCAGTAAGCAATCATTGTCTATGATTTCAAAAACTATTCTTATGGTTTTGTAAAATTTTAATGTCAAAATAAACATTTTATTATATCTTGTACGCATTATAATTAGAGTACCCACACATTTTTTTCATAATATCATAATAGCAATATATTGTTACCGTCAAAGTCAAGGGTCCCTGATCCATCTGCATCAATTTCATCAATCATCATATCAAGTTCTTCTGGCGTCAAGTTGTCATCAAGTTCGTGAAGAATATCTCTAAAAACTTCAGTTGTAATGTAGCCATTTCCTTCTCTATCGTAAAGTCGGAAGGCTTCTCGTAATTCTGTCTGTATAGCTTCTGTGTCAGCGTCATCTTCTAAGAATCTTGCTGCAAGATTACAGAAAGTATCGAACCGTATTTCCTTTCTACCTGCGAAAAAAAATTTAAATTTAGTATACTTTTATAATTTAATAATATAATCATACTATTTTTGATATCATACTTCAATAAGCGTGCTTCATGCTACAGACTAAATCGAAGATTTCAAATTAGTCACGTTGAAAAAATGTGTAATGGATGAAAATTTGTTATTTTATCTTTTCCCTTACCCCGTTACGCTACCCCACACTTACATCATACATTACATTTAACCATTTTTTACTTTTTTTTATTCTTTACCTAATTCTCCTACGAAAAAAAACTCTTTGTTACCTTAAGAAAGTACGTAACAAGACTTAATTATTCATTTTACTCCCTCGTTGCCAGGCCCCCTTCACTGTGACGCCCCATGCCAGTCCCCTCCACACCACAACATGTGGCACGACAGCAATGCAGTACAGCATATACATATTAAATGTTATACAATTATCTTTTCTTATTCTTAAGCTCATTCAAAACAAAAACAATACTCTTTTCGAGATGTAAACCGCCTATTTTCTGTATACGAATCGGATACCTGACTTTCTCTGCTACAAACGGTCCCAATATAAAAAAATCCGCTTATTCTTTTGATAGTGTGGTTTGTTCGTTTTATTAAAGTTTATTATTTATTTTCNATGGCATTCTTACTATAAGCTTTTTCATCAGCAACTAAATAATAAACTTTTCCAAACAGCTAGTGCAGAATGCAGAATTTCATGTCTTCTCAATAACTTTTTGCTAAGAGTTGAAATAGCGATAAAAATGATAATAGCTTATGAAATATAATCATTAAAAGAATTTTAAATGTTTATTAAAGTAATAATACTTTAACAATTTTAGCTGACATGGATGGTCTCGATGTCCCTCTACTTCGATTCAGATGGCATTTTGTATATTTTCGAAGCTGTCTTTTGAACAAATATTATTGATATCGTTAACACTACTGATTGTAAGAATGAGTTCCTCAACATTTGTGGCAAATGCAAGAGCAATACTAGAGATGTAATAAGAGTAGGCAGATATTTTGGAATAACCAGAAGATTCGATAAAAGTGAGTACTCTCGTACTGGATAGCATATCAGCACCCTACACTATGGTATACTCAGTACAGTTTCATACAACTTTAATATTCGGTGTTAAAACATCTACTGTCTGATGGATTTATATCACGGATAGCATTTTTATTTATTTTTTTTTAACTACCATTCAAACGCATTGAATTAGTAACTTGACTATTGTAACATGGCAATCACAAGCCTTGAACAAATAAAACAGAAAACTTTCACACTAATGTTACAGGCAGAAAACTAGGAAATAGAGAATTCTCTATTCTAATTAGGATGTACAGAAAGTATACTTAGCTAAAACTTAAAGACTTATGCTAACAGTAGCAAAATATTAGCTCACTTACATACTATTAGCAAGCATTGTAAATTACAATTACATATTTTACTGAGTTTAAGAAAAAAAGGGAAGAGAAGTAACACATCTTCTGCACTACTACCGTCAACAATTATTTAGATCACAACTATCTTTGGAACTATCTTCTAGATTTTTTGGGAACAGGCCATCTTTTCTAAAGGGGATAAGATATCAGAAACACACATATTATCTTGTACTTTGTATGATTCCGAAAATAGACTGCGTTAACAGTATCAGTGTGAGCTACATAGGGGCTACACGATTCAAGAGCTACCTAAGACATCTGTAACAGTCACTAGGAAGGTATGATTTTAATGTTAAAAATTCTCGAGCTCAGTAGTCCAGGTGAAGTTGACAATTAGTAACAGTTCTCATATCCGAATTCTTGCAGTGTCTTACGAATGTATTCTCAAGTAACACGGATTACGTGATTATACATGCAAAAAGTGAGTAAATTAATTCATGTCAGGAAATTTAGAAACAGTATCATAATTAATAGTACTCTTTGCTTAAAAAAAACTAAGTTATGAAATGCATCGTATCGTGATTAACATTTTAATTTTTATTAAATTACGTAAGATAGTGAAACACACAATATAAATACGTGAGATAATTGAACTCTATAAGAGGTGTTATCTAAGAATTTCATATGATTCAACTACATAGTTGATAAAAAAAAATTGTTTTCTGAGTTAAGTACATACCTTAAGTACCATCATGCTAGAAGGTAAAAGTCAACAGGGGTGTGTGATCGAGAAATGCTCTTCACTTACGTACAACTATTTGTAATCAACATAAGTCTTGTGAATTTTTTTGTTCTTTAATATTATTATTCTTGTCTAATTGTTGTTTTTAATTTTAGATTGTTAAAATATAAAGCACTGATAGAAGAGAATCAAAGATCGGTTCATAATTAAGGACTAAAGGTGGTTTTGAAGATTTTTCTATAGATTGGCTTCACCAAGTTGCCCCTTCAAAAAACTTTTGTTTTCAAAACATGTTGCAGCAGTCGACATGAAAATAACTTAACGCTTGTACCATTAACTGCAGGACTTTAGTGTTTTAAAAAAACGAAAATCTGTATCCCAAACAGAAATAGAGTTTGAACGGAAAATTTAATCTAGACACAGTTTCTTTATGATGATCTCAAACTTATATAGATACACGGTAATACTAGTTGTTTAACTGCAGATAAAATATACTTTTTTTTTAAGAAGTTTTCAGATAAAGCTCAAAAAACTTTTTTTGATATGATAAAATTATCAGAGCGTACTAAAAAACACCTATTATCTTTTACTAGTCTCTAAACTGATTCATTGTACAAGGAGACAAAACTATTAGTTTTAATAAGACCATTAGTTTCTAGAGACATTATGCTTGCTCTAGTTTTTTTTTTATTTAAATTAAGAACAGCTTCAACAAATCATTTTATTTGATCTATTTTTAAAATAGAAGACAATAAAAAAATTTCTGTTTTTTGGAAGTCACTAATTAATTCATTTAAAAAGACACCCTACCAAAGTATTTTGGTGTGAGAAGTTTTAAAAGAAAGGATCTTGTACGTGATCACACTTCTATTTATGCCTAAGAATTGTTTAATTTGACAACTGAGCTTGCTTTGGTATTTAACGAATCATATAAATGTCTTTAAAAACCTCAAAATAACAAGTAACAACAAAAATCATGTTCAGGTCACAAAAATTTTTCTTGGGTCGAGCTTTTCACTATTTACACTACAAATGGACTCATTGTTTACCTCCTTGATCCTTTTTTGGCCACAAAAAATAAGGCGAGCATTATGAAAATAGTAGTGGATGATCAATACGGTATAAAAACTATCACGAGTAAGGATGATATTTGCATTGTAGATAGAGATCTTAGGAATGTGGTACTTTGCTTGGAAAATTATAGTTTGAATGTTTTCAAGTATGTCTCTAAAGGAAAAAAAATAAACTTGAGTACCTCTGAACTGAATGAATCTTGTTATGTAATGAAATTAAGATGGGTTTTAGAGGCTAATCATGGCATTCTTACTATAAGCTTTTTCATCAGCAACTAAATAATAAACTTTTCCAAACAGCTAGTGCAGAATGCAGAATTTCATGTCTTCTCAATAACTTTTTGCTAAGAGTTGAAATAGCGATAAAAATGATAATAGCTTATGAAATATAATCATTAAAAGAATTTTAAATGTTTATTAAAGTAATAATACTTTAACAATTTTAGCTGACATGGATGGTCTCGATGTCCCTCTACTTCGATTCAGATGGCATCCAGTGAAATAATTGACTTTCGAGATTCAACGAAAAAGAAACTAGAAATAATTTTTTTTGGAACCTGTCAATTAGATTAAGCCACATGTTATTTAGCCAAATTGATGTAGGATAATAACTATGTCAATTTAAAATATATTCAAATGAAACCTTATATTACTAAGGTATCAATAAGGTTAAAGCTTGTTAACAAAAAACTTACAAATGTTACATCAAATAAAATCCTAACACAATTGAATCCAGCAATATCCTACAAAAAGCATGTAACTGTGCCACTGAACTAGAAACTATAGGATCATGCTTTCTTATTGCTGCTGTTATACATTTTCTTAGTAATGCAAAGTACAAATTAAGAACTATAAGACAAGCGAGAATTCTTCCAAAATTGCTTAGAAGTTAAGACAAAGATCCTATAATTGACGAAAATGGTGACAAGGACCAAAAATACTATTAATTAAGCATTGTAAATTACAATTACATATTTTACTGAGTTTAAGAAAAAAAGGGAAGAGAAGTAACACATCTTCTGCACTACTACCGTCAACAATTATTTAGATCACAACTATCTTTGGAACTATCTTCTAGATTTTTTGGGAACAGGCCATCTTTTCTAAAGGGGATAAGATATCAGAAACACACATATTATCTTGTACTTTGTATGATTCCGAAAATAGACTGCGTTAACAGTATCAGTGTGAGCTACATAGGGGCTACACGATTCAAGAGCTACCTAAGACATCTGTAACAGTCACTAGGAAGGTATGATTTTAATGTTAAAAATTCTCGAGCTCAGTAGTCCAGGTGAAGTTGACAATTAGTAACAGTTCTCATATCCGAATTCTTGCAGTGTCTTACGAATGTATTCTCAAGTAACACGGATTACGTGATTATACATGCAAAAAGTGAGTAAATTAATTCATGTCAGGAAATTTAGAAACAGTATCATAATTAATAGTACTCTTTGCTTAAAAAAAACTAAGTTATGAAATNATTTTTAAGATAATATTCTAAATGTATTTTTTTTTTTAGTTTTTGCTTTGAATAACAAGCCTTATTGAATACGAAATAAGTTTTAATGGCTATGGGGTTAAACAATATTTCAAAAATGGTGTTAAAAATGTACATAAAAATTGATTTGACTATTTGTTCCGATTATATGTACCAAAAATATAAAAAAAAGGCTTGAAAAGACTATTTTTCTCAATTTCAAGTATGTTCCAGAGCAAACATTACTTATAGAATATCGCAATTCTTATAGAATATAAAAAAAAATATATGAAAAAGTGTTCTCGAGAAGTAAGCCAAAAAATACCT